AAAAAAAACTCATCCACCTACATTAAGTCTGGACCCCAGAAAGTATAAAGAACTAAGTTCCTAGATCTTAAAACCAAGGTGAGACTAAATATGAGCTCACTGCATTCTCAAAATTTATTTGAACTTTTCTTTTTTGGAAGGGTGGGGGTCTTTTTCAGACAGGGTCTCCCTGTAGCCTCAGCTAGCCTGGAGCTCGCTATGTAGACCAGGCTGGCCTTGAACTCACAGATCCCCCTGCCCCTGCCCCTCCTTCCCAAGTGCACCCAGCTTAATTGAGCTTTTCTTAGCCAGTTTGGAAGATACTCTTCAAAGTATTTAGTCACTAAATGAGTAATTCATTATAAGGACAGATTTTTATTTTTCATTAGAAAACAGTCATAAATTTGGCACATTAACTGGATGAATTTTAATATTTACGTACTACTAGAGCACTTCTAAATTCTTTTTTTTTAGATAATTAGCATTAAGGAAAAATTTGTTTTAAAAATAGTCTTGTCTCCAGTGGGTCATGTGTGTGTGAGTGTGTGTGTGTGTGTGTGTGTGTGTGTGTGTGTGTTGAGGCACAGTCTCACTGCATAGCCCAAGCTAACCTGGAATTCAAGGTCTTCTGCCTCTCCCTCCTGAGTGCTGGAATTAAGTTGTGCCCTACCACACTCAGTTCTATTGTTCTTTCTAGATTGTGGATTTTGTTTTACTCACCTACGCTGAATTAAGCCACAAAAATCTAGCAGAAATGGGTGGCAGGTGTCACTGATAAGTGGATGTTAACAGCATATTAGCAATTGTCTGTTGCGGACTAGTTGACAAAAGCACAAAGCCCTAATGAAATCTAATCCTTAATTTTTTTATTTATAGGTCTCACAAAGAATCCAAATTTGCAGATATTATTTTGTATGGTTATTTGTCTAAAATGATACGGGTTCTCTGTAAAATAATCTGCCTCAGTGATGCAAAGCAAAAAGAATACTGGTGTGTTTCTCAGGTGGTGGACTGCTTAAGCAAATGTTACTGTTTAATATATTGTTGGACATAGTCTATCCAGGAAAGGATTCCTAATTAGCTTTTTAAAGAGTCTCACATAAGCTCTTTTGATTGACCCACACAGAAAATTTTAGGGATATTTATGGCCACCAACAGATTTGTCCAGGGCACTCTCAGTATTCCTAGGGGCAGGTTTATTTTGGAAAAAGATTTCATTTTTAATTAATCACAGAAAACTTCAACTCTTCATAACAGTAACCTGCTACTGCCTTCAGAGACAGACTTCTGTCTCCCAAGAAAGCTAAAGGACTGTGAACATTTGACCAGTATGCCTTCAGAAAGCAAACTTTTCTTGGAAAAGTAAGCCTATCTGTAGGTAATTCATGTTCACTGAGTAAAGCATTTCTTTGGTAGCACAGGGGAGTACACTATTTGATAAAAATTTAGACTGGAATTACTTCTGCCCCGACAGTGAATTTTCTGATCATCATCTTTACAGAAACATTTTAGTGAATGATATATTTTATTATGTTTATATCCAAAACCCAAAGAAGGTTTCTTATCCTTCCCCACTTTATTATTTGTGTGCATTCAGAAACCTATTAGAAATTTTACTTCTCTGGAACATTATCCATGAGAGATAACCACTCTGATAATTTGCTGTTCTTTCTCTGGCTGATGGTAAATCAGGGTAAGATAAACAGTACTTATTTTTATGCACTTTTTTTCCTTCCATTCCCTCTGATCTTGCAGAAGCAGAGAACTGGCAGAATAATAAGTATGATGATGAGAGTGTGCAGAATTTATTCCGTATGTCCTGTCCACCCGACACATTGCTAGGGATTTGACGTTATCTGTTTATCCTAGTATCGCTCCCATTTTGAAAGGGGAGACAGTGGCCACCTAATAAGTAGTAGGCCAGAGCTCCACCCCTAACTCCAGCCAGTGCCCTTCATCACTAGTCTGAATGGTTGAGACCATAATGTATTAACATTTAGTGGGTTTTCTTAATGCTGATAATTCAAAATCATCCAAAAATTTATATAATGAACCATAGCCCAGCCTTTACTGTTTGTTAGGCAGATCTTCTGGCAAACAACCGATGCTTTCACAGGTTCGACCTTGGTATCCACAGCTCCTCACATAAATTGCCTTTGTGCCAAATTTTCATTGTCTTTTTTTTCAAATCACCAAACCATGTTACTAATGTTGTGTTTTGGTTTGTTTTACAGTGATCCTTTTCTGTATGGCTGCCCTAATATTTCCAATAGGATTTTACATCAATGAAGTCGGAGGTCAACCTTATAAATTACCCAACAACACAGTAGTTGGGTCATCATATGTACTTTTTGTCTTATCAATCTTCTTTACAATAGTAGGACTTCTTTTTGCTGGCAAAGTTTGTTTACCAGGCTGAGGAATGTCTAAACTGCTCAACTCTCTTTATTTTTTATTTTTATGTTTAGAGGGTGGGAGGAAACAGACAAGGGGTCTGAGCAGTCCTGTCATAGGAAGATGCTTAGATGAAACTGATGCTGAAAAGAAAATGCTTTGATTTGTTCTCACTATGCACTTTGGATTTTAAAAAAAATGAGAGCCTTTTCCATAACCAAATACAATAGTGACTAAATCTCCTGAGCATATTCAGGCAGGCAGTCTGCACTGTGATAGCAACCTAGTGAAGGAGAGTGCTTTATATGGAAAGCATGTGGCCCTTTGTGACTCTGTTACTCTGTTAATGTCTAATGATTCATTTGAGGAAAAAAAAAGTCTTAAGTATTTATGAGTCATGGTGGACCAGAGGGATGCAAGAGAAGTTCATGTGGGGCTGGCCTCACCTCCTAAGAGATTATGTTCACAGCTTCCTTGTGATGTCTATGAGCCTTTGGCACCAGAACGGTTTACCGTTGCATTACTGCACCAAGAAGCCAATAGATCAAACCACGTTTGCTGAGATGTATGTAAAAATTCCCAAACTCCCTGATCTCTGTGTACAAAAGAAAAAAAAATCAAACACTAAAAAACATGTTTTGGGTGGGTGGGGGAAATCTTCCTTATATTTATATAAATATATATAATATATATATTTTGCTGATGCAGTATACAGTGTGTATATATGTGTGTGTGTGTGTATGTGTGTATACATTTATATATGCACACATGCAAACAGTTCCTGGAAGAGAATTCTGAATGCTTTGCTAGCAAAACACTGTGGTGTGCAAACCTAGAACTCAGTAGAAAAAAAGCCATTTATCTGAAGGCTGCAGAGTGGAGAAAGTCTTCAGTTTACCTCATTCTTTGTAGCAGCCCTTGATTTTAACAGGTTTTTGTAATAGGTACAAATAATCCCATACCTTTCTAGGTGCAATATTAAGTTAAGCTAAAAATTCTTTCTAGGTTTAATTTATTTGTATATGATAGTATCAGGTAAGATCTTATCATTTGGGGAATCTGACACTATTTAAATTATTGGCAACTGTTGTCTATTGTACAGAGATTCGTTTTTCTACTGGCTCAGTCTCTTACATTGATAATGCATTTTATATGTTCAAGCACACAATTTTACATAAATACAAAGTTCACTAGCAAATGTCTGGCTGTTTTGGCTATTTACAACACTAATTTCAATCTCCCATAAAATTAAATTTTATTTTTAAGCATTATTAATATATCTTTACCAAACACTTGAGCAATATAGTATTTTCTTTATATGCTACATGCCTTTGTTTGCTAAAAGCTAGCAATTTTGCATTTACTTCGAGGGGTTTTATGAAATCCACAGCTTTAAGTTTTATTCTAGAGGAAGCATTGCAGCTAACCCTTGAACTCATAAGCAGTTTTAAGACACAGTATTTCTCTTCTCCACATTTCCATGCCTTCATGTCAACACCTAGATTGTTCCTGGTAAACACTATATGTAGCCTTCTGTTATTGAGCAGGAGGGTGTTTCATATAGCAGGGGGGCTAAGTCTGCTCTCTTTAGAGTGAATGGCAATCCAGATACCCTTGTTAGTCAGCAGAGTCTGAGTCCCATGTAGCCCGTGCTTCACACAAGCAGAAAAGAATGCACTGTTTTTAAAGCAGCTTGATTATTCATCACAGGACAGTTACTTCAGAGATGGGGCTGCCTCCTCAGAGGCATTCTAGAATGGAGAAGCTTGGTTGATCTCACACTGGCTTGTTTGATATTCTTCTATCTTACTGTTAATTCCACAGTATTAAATTGTGAATGAAAACTCCAGTGTTTGGCTCCCACGGGAATCATGGAGGAGTTGGGCCACCCCTGTGATTCACTCCTCGTGTTCTAGGGGAAGTTCATACCTTTCCTTCCACCTGTGTGAGAAGCCTTTAGTAAACTTGAGGAAGGCCATTTTCTGCCAAGTATTATGATGTCTAATCATTTCTGAAGTCATCACCAGACATGTTCTGTGGACATTTGGGATATGGCTCCCATTTTGATTTGATTAGTCCTCAGTCAAATGGATCACTTTGAAGGAAAGCTTTGGTTGTTGGCATTATACCACTGAAATAAAGTGTTAGCAAAGTATGGTTCAGATTAATTAATGATATGACCAAGAGCTGTTCTCTTTCACAAGATGGATTTTATTGTAAATAGTTTCTCAAAGTCTTTTTAACTGGATCATGAGCATGGGGAAAGAAAGTCTCTTAGCTGCTAAGAATCCCCACCATTGGCTTCTCTCACTTACAGTGGTTTGCATATAAGATTACAGGATTTAAGGTTTTATTTTTATCTATTACCCAAACCATTAAATCATCTTTAATTTCATCATTGTCTTGGAGATCTAGTGCATGAGGAGCTGACTGGGGGGAAAGTCCCTCTAGCCACACAGCACTCAAGCCCGGGACTAAGACCATCCCATCCAGTAGTATATGAAGTCCAGTCCTGTCACTCTTCCAGACCAAACATGGAAATGGACTCATCTGTGTAATTTCTCCAAGTCCTGTAAGTGAAAGATAACCAATGTCAGCAGTTGCTTTTTTTAAAGGTCACTATAAGTACTATATAGTACAGTATTAATTTATGCAGGAAATCATATCTTGTAAAATGTATAAAAAACACTTTTATGGTGCAATCATTTGTCAAACTTTCGTCTGTTACATTGTTTTTAGAATGTGCATCTCATGCCTAAGAATATCACTGCAAAATCTGCTGAAAACTCTATGTTTTATTTGCACAAGACTGAATTAGTTTGAGTTTTTTGGAAGCTCTATTGAACATGCCTAAACATCTGTAAACATAAAAATCTTCAATCCATTAAAAGCAAACATTTCAGTATGATTCTTTCCAAAGGTAATCCATGTTCTGTGTTGTTAGTGTGTGGATGTAATGTTTCTGGATCTTCCATCTCTTACAAACTTATTTTCTGTTTCATCTGATTTACTTTTGAAGGATGCCTTTTTTCCCTTCTTAATGTTCTAGATGACCAAAACACTGCTTTGGTTTTACCCATTTGCCTAAAGCTTTGATATTTCACTTGATGTTCTGTGAGTTCACTGTCTAACCTCTCCAGTGAAATAATAAATAGTCCTGGTGACAATCTCTTGATTTAGAGGAAAGACCCTGAAAAAACTGTTGAAAACTAACCTTGGATGTATTCTTAGCTATTATTTTGCATCATGGGCTTCATGCGAAGAACAGGTTGCATTTATTTTTGTCTTTATTAAAAGACTACTAGCCACAGTTATTCTGATTATAGTGATTATCAACCCACTTTGATCTTCTTTTAAAAAATTAAATTCACATTCACAATTCAAAACAGTAAGTTGTCTTTCAGAAAATTTTTGAAGGATAAAAATATATGAAGGAAAAAGGTGGCCTGTGTAGATAGAATTACCCACACAGGGCTTTTAGTTTTATCGCTTACGAAGGTTTTCAGGTTTGTGATCAAGGTCTGTATATTATCTCAAACTTTATTAAAAATTGTTTTCTAATTGGTTATAACATTTTTTCAATTAATAGTTTCAAAACAAATTGTTAATACAACTGTATAAAATGAACATAATTTTCTTCACTTGTATTTTTGTTATTGAGCAAGTTTATCAAAATAAATTGTCTACTAAAGAAACTAAGAGGCTTGTATTACTTTGAAGTAAGCTTTGATTTTAACAGTTTTATTTCTTGGGGCTAGGGATGTAGCCCCAAGAAATAAAACTGTTGGTGGAGAACTCAGTTGGTAGAGAGTATGCACTAGGCCCTGTGTTCAATCCCCAGTGCTGAATAAACCAGGTATAGTGGTACTCACATGTAACCCCAGTACTTGGTAGGTAGAAACAAGAGGATCAGAAGTTCAAGGTCATCTTCAACTGCATAAAGAAGGGAGTATGTGGCCAGCCTGGTCTCCAAAAAAGTTCTTATAGCAGTTTCACATATTCACGGAGAAACAGCTTCATGCCCCTTGAGTTGGGTTATTGTTAGCATTGTGTGTGAGGGGGTCTCCTCCTTTCTTCCACCCCCATTCCTAGATCATGCCTAGGGAACAGTTGTAGTCAATATTCCAAAGCATGGATTAGGTTGCATTTACCAATAAAAGGTCATATGCACGTGGCCCTCTCTTCTGTGTTATGTTTCCATGAGCTAGGAGAGAAACTGAAGCAGAGCACCCCTGGCCAGCCATGTTTCTTTGCTTCACTCATCTGTTTCTACTTTATTGAAGGCCAAAGAATCTTCAAGTAGATGACAAGATTCAGGCTTGTTCCCTGCTCTCTCATGTATCTCTGAATGGCTTGACTGTGGCTCAGCCTTAGCCCTTTGCTGCGTTGTCTCTTTGTATGGACTTGCAGGAGCCTCATGGAGAGCTGGAGGTTAAGGATCAGTGAGTATTAGGTGTTTCTAGATTCTGGGACTTGAGGGCATTGCCATACGGTACCCAACCATCCAGGGTTGCCTCAGACAACAGTCTTCCCAGAATATGGGATTCTCAGTGCCATAACTGGGAAGTTCTAGACAAACAAGCATGGTCACTAGATCATACACTCTTTATACCATCCAAATCTTCCTTATAACACAGAGATATTTGAAGGATTCTTTTCCACAATGTTAAAAATAAATTGATTGGAAATTGTAATGGTAACCTTAATGTAAACCAAATGGAGCAGGGAAACTTCTTCTCTTCTTTGGTGATAATCCCTCAGGAAAAGGAGGCAGAGTGATTTTGACAATGACGTGGACTCAAAAAAATGGTTTGTTTGTTTGTTTTTTTAAAAAAAAAAACTTACTCCAACTGTATCCTATGAGATTACAGGTAAAACACCAAGATTAGATGTGTTTCTTTCATGCAAAGTCAACTCTTCCGAGTCAATTACCCAGCAACAAAGCAAAAACAGTTATTTATAAATGGTACTAAAGATAGAAAGTATAATATTTTTTTTTTTAGAATTTTGGTTCTTTTCCCAGGACAAGGAAACACGGGGATGATATTTTCAAATACATTCCAAGTTTTTGTGTCTCAGCCCAGTTGCAGACCACCTAAGGCTTTATGAAGAAACTCATTTTCAGATGAAGAAATCAAGTCCTCAGAAAAGCTTACCAACTTTCCCAGAGTCACACAACTGGGTCTCAGTGGAACACTCAGTGTAGGAAAGAATGCCTGTGCCAAGCGGACCTAGAATTAGAAGGGATGTTTGCATTCTGCAGCTGTCTAACAGCCTCCCTTCAGGTCCTCTCCATCCACTTCAAGTCAGCTCTGCCAAAATGCTCGACTCTGAAGGAAGCGTGCCATTTCCTTATGCCTGTTTCTGTCCCTCGTATGTGGGCTAGCATTGAAAAGCCCTCATGACCTCTTTCAAGCTGTCTCTTCCCCCTTCTTCTGAATTCTCCATTCTCGTACTACGCCCTGCCTCTGTCATGGCTGTGTCCTGCCCACCTCCTATTTGAGCTGTACATACCTTTCTTTTGTGTGTGGTGTCCTTTTTGATTACTCCTCTCTAACATTACCAGAGGGGAATAGGCTGCCTGGATTCAAATCCTTATTCCACAGTTTTCGCTGTGGAACCTTTCATAAATCATTGTAACCTCTGTGAGTCTTGGTTTTGTTATGTTGTAGTTTTCTTCACCTTTTAGGGTTATTGTTGGCTTAAAAGTGATAAAGTGAGCCGGGCACTTGGGAGGCAGCAGCAGACAGATTTCTGTGAGATCAAGGCCAGTCTGGGCCACATAGCAAGTTCCAAGCCAGCTGGGGTTACAGAGATAAAGGCACATAGTAAGCACATTGTTCTGTACCTGGATTACAAGTTCTTGAATGCAAGGAATTTGATTTTCTTATACTGTATTCCCAAGAAAACACCCAATGGTTTAAATGTTTATTAGAATTACCAAAATTAAAATTTGGGCCACATTATAAGTGAAAATCATGAAATATTTCCTAGGAAATAGACCCAGTCACTTATATGCCGGGATTATTTCCTTGAAATAATCCTTGCCTCCTAAAGGCAAAAGTTTGCCTAAATGAGGTCTTCATCATGAGTCTCTGACAATATCTGTCCCTTTCATTGGCTGTTTTAGGATTTCCCTGTAGGTCAGGCAAGAGCTTTTGTTACTGAAGTCACAGTGTTCACATTGCTGCTTGGACAGAGGAGACTGGGATGATGCAAGCTCCCTGTTATTCGCTCCAGAGGCTTCCTCAAGCTCGTGGGTTCTCTACTGTCATGAAAACATACAGTTGGTATGTTCTGTAAAGAATTGATCCCACCAAGATGTTTTTAATTATTTCTGCTGTGTGGGCCATCAGCAACCCCTTGTCCTGAGTGTCATTAGGAAGGAAGTTATTATCACAAGTCCAAGCTGGAATAAAAGGATTTTCTTTTTACAATAATTATATCTGTGAATTTTTTTTTTTTTTTTTTTTTTTTACAAAACAAAGCCGAGGGTGCTGGAGAGATGCTTCTGGGTTTAAGAGCCCTGAGTTCAATTCCCAGCACCCCATCAGCTCACAGCTCCTGTAACTCCAGCTCTGGGGATCAATGCCCTCTCCTGGCCCCCAGGTACTCATATACACACATACCCACACATATACATGTAAATAAAAAAAATTAAAGCCCTGCAGTGTTGAAAATTGAAAGTTCCCACTCATAATTCACCTTCTAAAGACTCAATGTTAACAGTTTGTTGGGTATTCTTTTTTCTTTAAAAAAGTTTTTTTTTAAATATTGCTTATTCTGTGGTAGTAGCAAGGAGCTTAGCAGATAGCCAGAGAGTGCCAGGGTCTGGCCTCCAACTACCAGATATATAGGCCATATCCACTGCCAATTCTTCCACTCCCCCGACCCCAACACTTCCCAAAAGGGACCTCTCTTATCTTTGTATCCTTTTTAAAATCTCCTTTTAGAACCCATTAAGTTCAATTAGTACTGCCTGCAGGTGCGTGCACAACATACCAGTGGGCACACCCATAGAGAAAAATCACTCTCCCTCCTGAGCAGTCATCAGTTGCCAAAAACTCCTCAGCTATGAATGAAGCTTCACGATCTATTGGGTATTCTAACAAGACTTTACTGGTTTTCAGCTTAACAAAAGCAAGATGATATTTTATATACACACATACATGTATACATATACATATGTGCCAATACTTTTTTAGGCTACGTAGTATTCTATTTTAGAAACATAGTATTTATGCATCATTTCCACACATAGGTTTCTCAGGTTTGGTTTTTGGTTGTATTGTTTGGTTTTGGGTTTTTTGTCATTGTTGTTTGAGGGTTTTTTGGCTATTATAAATAATGCTACTGTGAACTCAGATTACAAAAACTTCCCCCAAACCAAAATAATCTTAGAGTCTACCACTGTATTAAGGCAGTTCATATTTTTGCAAAGTGCTGTGGTTAAGTGATAATGGCACTGAGTATGTTCAGGGGGAAAAATAACATTAAGTTCTTGTGCTTGGGCCTTTCTACATGTCATCTTTACCCTCTTCCTGTGAAGGGTAAGAAATGGTTTTCACGAGCTAGAAAGCAGGATCAGAATAGTGAGCAACTTGTCTAGGTTCTATAAGTAGCAATTGGTATAAGCCTGATTTCAAACTAAGTTCCCTGACTTCAGCTTTAGGACTCCTGTTGTCACACGTTGCCAGTTTGGCTAGTCTAAAGGGAGCAAAAATAGCTTGTCCCAGTTGCATGATTCCTTGGCTTCAGCGTGAGCAGCTAAATCCGTGGTTTGCTCTAGATGGAGAATGCAAAGAACCACAAAAGGAGTAGGCCCTGTTAAAGGCTAGCCCCTGTTTTAAGGGGTAACCTGTGTTAAAAGGGAGCCCCTGTTAAAGGGTAGACCCTGTTAAAGGGTAGACCTACTGAGAGCAATTTGTCAATATTGTCTACTTTGTTTCAGAAAAATCTACAAAATCCTACTTAAGTTGTCTTCATCTCCCAGCATTCCTTTCTCCCTGTCAGGGCTTCTCTCTGCAGTCATTCGGTGGTGTTTTATGTAGTGCTGGCAGCCTTACTGGTGAAGCTATAAGATCACCCATTGGCTTCTGAGACTTTTTCAGGATCTGAGTGACCAGAGGAATGTCCCCAACAGGCTGCTCCCCATTCTTCTCTAAGGATACTTAAAAATTGACCAGATCCCTTCTTCCCTAGAGGCAGGCAATGTACTGGTTATTGCAGTCCTCAAATCATGCAAGGGCCCATGGCTTCTGGACCCTCAGCTCATTTGTCATATGTCTCCCCATCACTGATGAGACTTCAGTTGTCCCACGCAAAGTGGTACGGTGGCTTCATTTTTCCATCCCACCTACATATGAGTTGTGATGAGCTGGTGAGCCAGGAGCTCCCATGCCTCTAGATTTCCCTGTGCACAAAGGACCGGTCTCCTCTGAGGTCTAACCATCTCACCAAGGTATGGCTACCAGCGTAGAGCAGGCCTCTACCCTCTCTAATTCTCTCATCGCTGATTTCTTAATGGCCATCCTTCTGGAGAGTATCCTCTGCCTTTTGGCTTCCCTCAGAGATATGTGAACTTCATACTCAAAGTTAAAAAACAAAACACGGGCTGGAGAGTTGGCTTAGTGGCTAAGAGCAATTGCTGTACCACTATGAAGACCTGAATTCAGATCCTAGTAACTATGTAACAAGCCAGGAATGGTTTCCTATGTCAGTAACTCCAGTGCTAGGAGTTACTGCCAGCCTTGGTGAAAAACACCAGCTTCAGGGTCAAGGAGAGAACCTACCTCAGAAGAATAAAGTGGAGAGTGATAAAGGACGTCTGATGCCCGCCTCTCGCTTCTGCATGCACACACGTACACACACCACATTCAACAAAACTTTTGGAAAGCTGCCCTTTTGACCACATAGCTTCATGACCCTGATTCCACCTGGCTGAGGAACTGGACAGAAGCTGGACTTGCCCAATCAATCATACTGAGTGGTCCAGGGAGGACCATGACATGTGACCAAGAAGCCAAGCCTAGAACTTAGGGGAACTCCTGAGAAAGAAGTTCTTTTAGTGTTGCTAAGGTGGAGGGAGGGGAAAGACTGATATAACTGTGTCTAGATTTCCCACCCTGAAGAGCCTGCCTGAGACACCATCATAGATAAAGGGAACTGAGATACAGAGATGGTGGTGTTAACATCACTGTTAGCTGAAGCCAGAACAATCCTTAGAGTTTTCTGTTACTTCAG